GGTCAATGGTCTAACGACTACGGCATGCACGATTACGAGTACCCCCCCCCCCCACCCCCTGCCCCATCTCTCGTTTCATTTCCTTGCCCGTTAACCCACCGCTGCCTGCATCCATCCTCTCGCTCGTTTCAACGTTTCAAACCAAGGGTCGGTTTAGTACAGTACATACTTTTGGTACTTTCAAGTATTTTAGAAAGAATCTCGCCCCACCGCCCAGACTGGGACACCAACACTTTAGTACAGCTCTCCATACTGTACTAATCGTACTATTGCTCTTAGTAGGGCTTCCCATACTGTACTAAACATACTGTTGCCTTTAGTACGGCTTTTCATACTGTACTGATACAAACCTCAGTACCGATTCTCGATACTGTACTAAACGTACCGTTGGTTTCAATGACATCGTTTTCCATCCTGCCATCCCTTCCCCACAACCCCTGTCTCTTCAACTCACCCAGCAACCTCATCCTCTGGTCGGTCCAGCCCCGCGCAAGCTCTTCCACCTCCAGCCTCAGCAGCCTTAGCGCCTCCTCGGCAACCTCGGCGTCGTCCCGCGCCCGCCTGGCGTTCAACCTCGCCTGCCCGCTCGCCCCGCCCGCGGCCTCTTCCTCTTCCAACGCTGCTAATGTCGTGTCTACGTCCGCCGCCCCCGCAGCGGGTTCCTTGCTGTGTCGAAGTTTCCCTTCTCTAGAATTGACCCCGTCGGAAGCAGCAGCGGAGGTCTTGCTGGGCTGCTTCCCTTCCGCTACGTCCACAATCGGTGCATCGGACTCGCCCGCCGACGCTGATGCTGGGGGCGCTCGCGAGGTGGCGGCGGCGGCGGCGGCGGCTTCTCTTCGCGCGCGCTGCAGCTCTTCCGTCAGCCTCACCAGGTCCTCTCGCCGAGTAACGGCCTGCCACACGCCCGTGCAAACGAAACTCGACGATATTTGCCGCTACTTTTGATTGAGCGTGCACATCGCTACATCGAGCGCTATGCATTTGTAATATCTGCCGTGTGCCACGTTCGCCCCCATACGCGCGACTGGCAGCATGTAGCCGCTTGAGCTGGGCTACGGTGAAACTAGTCTTAACCAGCGGTAGACGTAGCCGCTGGAGTCGTTGAAGTAGACGTGAAAATTCATGTACCCCTTCTTTTTATCGTTCGACCCTACCGCAGCGCACCTTTCAATCCTCTAAAAGACAAATACGTAAACAACAACGAGCACCATAAAATGTACACGAACGAAAACAAACCAGGCGAACAAGCAGAAAGAGAGTACGTCCGGGGCAACCGCGTTGACCTATCCTGCCCCCGCCCGGCGTACATGCCTCCCCGACCCCCTACCCCTGTAGTAGTTCACCCACCCTTTCTCTAAACCTTGCGGCTTCCTCCTCGCTTTTCCTTGCCGTGACCCTACTACGTGAGGCTAAATCTTGCCATAGATCCATAGGCACCTGTTCACACGCCACGCGAAACCACGGGGGGGGTCAAGACTACCATGAAATTCGGGGTAGGGGTAAAAGCGGGGTAATACCAAGAATGTACGAGATGTACGAGATGTACGAGATGTACGAGAGAAGAGACCGCCGACACGACTACCACGCACACCAATACACACACTACACACGTACACACCACGAGAGCGGGCATTGGTATTACCAGAAGCGCCAGGTCTTCCTTGAGCTGAGCGTCCGTGCTCTCCAGCAGGCCGTTGAGGTGGTGCTGCCCCTGAAAGATGCCGCGCCCTAGTACGTGCGAGGACAGCCCGAGCTCCTCCTCTAGAACCACCTGCGTCTCTCTGCCAAATGGGAAGTAAAGAAAACCATAAAAGGAGGGTTCAGAAAAGGGTGAGAACGTGGACTGGGGCAGGGCCCGTTGGTCGACCTGTTACGTCATACGACACACACGGGAGTATCAAGGCAGGGGGAGCAGGCGGTAGGGGATGAAAAGGTGGACAGAGGGGAGGGGCAGAGGGTCGCGCGAACCGCAGTATTCGTGTCTAACCAGCTCCATTAAACACCCGGACAAATACCACAACCACGCGCACTTCCTCGCGCATACGAACCCAGTTGCATTCTGTGACCCGCGGCTGACGGAAAAACCACCAAGCCTCTCGCCTTCTCTACCGTCTCATCCCCTCATCCTCCCCCCCCCCACACAAGAACCCACTAACCGCTTCCCATCTCCGTGCCCACTCCTTCCATCTCAATACTAACTTTGCTATCTGGCAGGTCAAGTCCTTCCCGTCGTGCTTGAGGAACAGCTGGTTCACCCGCGCCCCCTTCCGCCGCTTCAGCCAAAGGGGTTTCCCGTTGAGAGTGGCCGTGAGGGTCACCTCCGCCACCGCCGACCGCCGCGAGCCTTCTTCCTTTCCGCCTGTGAGGGGGAAAGCAACAAGCAAAACGCGGGGTGGCGTAGCAGGTGTTCACATCTCAACCTTGCAAGAAAAAAAATGACAGCCAACAGCACTCCACTCTATCCTGGTCTTCGTTGGACTCGGCAACAACACCACAGCATCAATCAGGATCTTCGAGAGCGACGATAGCGGTACGCCGCTTTGGCCGTCCGGCACAATTGCGGCACACCGAAACCTGGCACAATTGCGGCACACCGAAACCCGGCACAATTGCGACACACAGAAACCCGGCACAATTGCGACACACCGAAACCTGGCACAATTGCGGGGTCTACCGACGGAGGGTTGGGCACCGGCAAGCCCGCCGCAAGCGCGGGTCCGGCAAGAAGCACGGACGGTGTCAGCACCGCTGTGCAGGAGATCGACTCACCGATGGCGATGGCGGAAGATGCCGAGGAGGCCGGCGACAGAGCGCGGGTCACCTCGTGGACCACGTCGGCCACGCGGCCGTCGGACACGGGCCTGGCGTCCGAAGATTGGACAACACGAAAGAAACAAAAAAGAAGGGTCGGGACGCGAAGTGCACGCACGTAGAGGCGCGAGGCAGCTTACAGCAGGCACGGCATCCCCAATATAATGTATCCATCCTAGGGGCAAGACGTACAGTGAGAGAGGTAGGAAGAGATACAGATTGCTCCACCCTAACGGTACACTCCGAGAGACAACTGACTCCAGCGTAAGCCATCAAGGCGGTGCTAATGAGCCAACAGGGGCATCACCCATCTTCACCGACAGAGATGTTCACGGACAAACAATTTAATCGTGGGAAATCCGAAGACTCTCAGAATGGAGGTTCCGCCCCTTGCTTGCCTTCCCCCCCCTCTCCCCCTCCCCTTCCATCTCTTTCACTCGCTCGACATATTTGCTTGCCTCCCCCCCCTCTCCTCTCCCCTTCCCCCTCTCCCTCTCAGTATCCCTAAATACATTTCCATCTGTCGCAAACCAGTAAGGTAGCACTTGTGAATCGTACGCCACTACACCACACCACACCTGGCATCGACAACGCCCGCCAGGGCCCAGAGAGCGGACATAGCCAGCGTCGTTTTCCCCGCGCCGTTGCTGTCTGCTCCAGAGTCGTCCAGATTACTCCCTCGAAGCAGGACAACGCCTCGCTCGTCAAGGGGATACGTGATCTGGAGAACCGTGTGTGCATGACGGCAGGGGGTGGGGGGGGGGGGGGGGGGG